TGCCCAGGCGGGTCTCGAACCCGTGGGCTCAGGCAATCCACTCACCTCAACCTCCCAAAGGCGCGGGATTACAGGCTGAGCCACCGAGCTCGGCTACATATTCGATTTTAAAACGTACTCTTAAATATCTACCATTATAAAAGATAACAGTACTTAACGTTGAATGATGTCTCAATAAATAAAAATATTTTTACTAATTGTTTTGTTCCTTATTCTGTTTTTGCATTTCTATTTTCTCCTGGATTCATTTTTCTCTATGTTAGAGTACATCTTTTTGTATTTCTTTCAGAGACAAACTGTAGGTACTTAATTCTGAATTCTTTCATGTTCAAAAAAATCTTTAGTTTCCATCATTTTAGATGGAATGTTTGGCTTGGGACAGACTATTCAAAATAATTTTCCCTCAGAGTGTTAAAGAAATCTTGCCCCCTTTTTTTTAGCATCCACTGTTGCAGATATCAGTACTTTGTTGTAGGTAATCTGTTTTTTGTTTGCTTGTTTTTAACTAACCCAGTTGGCCTTTGTCTCTATGCTGTGAAATTGTACTGTAGTCTGTCTACTTGTGAGATTTACTTAGCATATTTGTAGTCTAAGCACTCATTTTCTTTAGTTCTGAGGACTTTTTGGCCATTTATTCAAATATTGTAGACTCTACTTACTTCTCCTTCTGGAATTTTTGTCAATGTGACATGAGCATTTTGGATCTTCCAGTTCACTAACTTATTTTCAGTTGTCTCTGTCTCACTATTCAGCCCTTCTAAGAAGTTTATTTCACCAATTGTATCATACATTTCCTAGATTGCTAATTGGTTTTCTTTTCATAACTACCATTCCTGTTTCAAGGATACTAATGTCTTCCCTTTCTCTCTGAGGATATTATAGTTTTTTGAAGTCTTTAACTATAGCATTATTAACTCTGTTCTCAAGAAGATGGGGCTTCACCCTTTCTCACCTGGCACCTAAATTAATTTTGAAATTAGAGCTATCAGTTCCCTTGCCCTACCCATAGAGATTCTGACTCAGTAGCTGTGGGGCAGGGCAAAGAACCTTAAGAGCATCCCAGGTGATTCTGGTGCGTAGGCACTTTGATAATATTCTAGTAGATTCTACTGTCCTAGAAGATAGTGTTCACATATCCTCTCTACATAGGTTTTCTTTACTTTTTTTTTTTGAGTTGGAGTCTCACTCTGTCGCCCAGACTGGAGTGCAGTGGCCGCTCCCGGCCACCGCAGCCTCGCCTGCTGGGCTCCGGCAATCCTTCCGCCTCAGCCTTCCAAGTAACCGGAATTACAGGCATGCGCTGCCACGCCCGGCTGATTTTTTGATTTATTGTAGAGATGACGTCTTGCTGCCCAGGCGGGTCTTGAACCCACGGGCTCAGGCAATCCACTCACCTCAGCCTCCCAAAGGAGCGGGATTACAGACTGAGCCACCGAGCCCGGTTTACTTTTTTTTTTATTTTAAAGATGTGGAGTACGATTCAGGATTAGGTATACAGATGTTCATTATGCAAGTACCCTTGTTGATGAGGTGTGCTCCCTTACTTTACTGTTAGAAAAAAATTCATTTCTGATGTTTTAGCCCAGTTAATGTTCCAAGGTTCTGAGGCATAGATTCTCCTCAGACTTGTGGTTTTCTTTCTTCTTTTTCTTTTTCTTGTTAACCTGGTCTCTTGTCCATTCTCATTCTTCTTGGACCCACCCCCTCTTCCCACTTGCTATCTATCTTTATTTTCCATTTCATCCTACTGCCAAATCAGAGGTTCCTCACTCTATCTTACCTCTGTGGGACAATCAATAGATCATATGGGCTATCCAAGAGGAATAAAACACGTTCACACAAAAATATGTACATCAATGTTTATAGCAGCTTTATTCATAATGACCCAAACTAGAAACGACCTGAATGTCCAACTGGTGAATAAATAAACAAACTGTGCTATCTCCATATAGTGTTTTATATAATCTATTTGGTCACAAAAAGGAATGAAGTACTGATACATGAAAAGACATAGATAAACCCTGAAAACATTGAAAGAAGCCAGTCACAAAGGATCACATATTGTATAATTTCATTTATAGAAAATGTCCAGAACAGGCAAATCCATTGATACAGAAAGTAGATTAGTGTTTGCCAGCAACTACGGCCTGGGGGGATGAGGGATGCTGAAAGAAATGGTAAGTAACTGCTAATGGGTACCAGGTTTCTTTTTGGGGTCATTAAAATATTCCAAAATTAGGTTGTGATGGTTGAACAACTCTGAATATACTAAAGAATATTGAATTGTATATATATATATATATTTTTTTTTTTTTTTTTTTGAGTTGGAGTCTCACTCTGTCGCCCAGATGGGGTGCAGTGGTCGCTCCTGGCCACCACAGCCTTGACCTGATGGGCTCCGGCGATCCTTCCGCCTCAGCCTTCCAAGTAGCTGGAACTACAGGCGCGGGCTACCACGCCCGGCTAATTTTTTTTATTTATTGTAGAGATGAGGTCTCACCCAGTTGCCCAGGCGGGTCTCGAACCCACGGGCTCAGGCCATCCACTCACCTCGGCCTCCCAAAGCGCTGAGATTACAGGCTGAACCACCGAGCCCGGCTGAGTTGTATATTTTAAAGGGTAAATTTTTGTGGTGTGTGAAATTATATATTAATAAAGCTGTTAAAATAAATAAATAAAGTAGACCATCTAGGCCAAATTAATTATTTCCCCAGGACCCTAAACTAGATCATGGAAATGCCAAGTAACCATGATATGCGTGTGATCTTGTGAAATGAATCTATTTGGATAGTGGATAACGCGTATTGGTTATAGGTCTTAAGACATAAAAAAAATATTTAAATCTATGCGACTTCTCTTCACTCTTTTAAAACAGCTTCAGAAGTGTATAAGATAAGCTTTATATTTCCAAATGGAGACAAGTATGGTAAGCATACATTTTAATTACTTTTTCTATACAGAAAATTAAATAGCTTAAGAATTTTTTTAAATGTATAAAAGTACTACTGAGCTATTAACTCCATTAAATAAAATAACAGAAATTCTAATAGATGAACAGGTTTTAAAATTAAAACTCCAATGATAAGTCTAAACAGTATGCCTTGGAAGCCTATGGGATCTGTAAGTCTGGAAGTCTGGTTACCAGCTGCTGTAGGTCCATGGGTCTCCTCATCTCTGGCCTTACTGGTTTCAGTCAAAGAGAGCCAGGGGGCACAGTTATGATTAGGCTCAGACATAAATACTGTCTTACCTAGTCAAACAGAGTTTCCATTGACAATCTTCAGTATGTTTCTGTTGTTCAGATGGTGACTGTACAAGAACATCTTCTGGAGTCTATGAGAGAAACGGAATGGGTATCCACACCACTCCTAATGGGATTGTCTACATAGGAAGCTGGAAAGATGACAAGGTATAATTGTTTTTAATAGTGACAGTGGATAATTAGCCCTAAGGGTTAAATGAGTCCAGGCATTTCACTGTGAATCAAAAACATGTACAATAAGTAGACCATGTTATAAAAATAACAAATGATTACATTAGCGTATATGAGTACTATTCAACTCTTTAAGCACAGCTAATCATCATCATCAACATCTTTCTCATTTTCCATTCATTGAGTAAAGCTGAGCCCATTACATAGTTTCTCAAAACCCATTACCTCCTGAGAACCTCATGAGGTCGGTACTTTACAAATACTTCCACTTTACAAACGTGGGAAACCAGGCTGTTTCTTGCTCAGCTAGTAAGTGGTAAAACAAGAATGTGTATACGCCAGGCACGGTGGCTTATGCCTGTAGTCCCAGCACTTTGGGAGACCAAGATGAGAGGATTGCCTGAACCCACAGTTTTGAGACCAGCCTGGGCAACTTGGTGAGACCTCATCTCCACAATAAATTTAAAAATTAGCTGGGTATGGTGTTGTGTACCTGTAGTTCCAGCTACTTGGAAGGCTGAGACAGAAGGATCACCTGAGCCCAGCAGGTCAAGGCTGCAGTAGCCATGAGCGTGCCACTGCACTCCAGCCTGGGCAACAGAGTGAGACTCCAACTCAAAAAAGAAAAAAAAATGTGTATCCAGGTCTGCTTGAATCCAAGTTTGACTCTGAATAAGTACTTTGGACAGTTCTCTGAGTTAGCCAAACTGGTTGCCCGTGACGATTTCTGCCATATTCAAGGTATCTTGAGGACCCCTATTATCATTATCATGGGCCCCCGGATGGTCAGATGATCTAGATGAGGAACATTTGATTTAGTGGGATTCACAGGTAGATAAAGGTTAAGGACAATGATAAAAATATTGTCTTACTACTATGGAAATTAAAGGTGATACGAAGTTGATTAATAATACGGATGATCGACTTACACGTATACATTTTTAAAAGGTTCTGGGGAAGATATGAAGATTTGTTTCTGAGGTCATTCCCTTTGTTACAGATGAATGGTTTTGGAAGACTTGAACATTTTTCAGGAGCAGTATATGAAGGACAATTTAAGGATAATATGTTTCATGGATTGGGAACTTACACATTCCCAACTGGGGCAAAGTATACTGGAAATTTCAATGAAAATAGGTAAACTTAAAATAGAAAAAAAATCACTGTAGTTCTAAAATATTCTTTTCAGGCATGTTTACTTAAATACAATTTAGTTAATGTGAAATATTCTTTCATAATACATTTAGTTTCTAAAATTGTGGGGAGTTTGGGGGGGAATATAGGGAGAAGTGCTGAGAGGCTAAAACCATCATAAGCCTCCAAAAGGGAGTATCACTCTTTGTGATCATCCTTTAGACTTTTCTCTTATCGGTCTTTTCCTTTCTGTTCCTATAAGCCTTTTGGCTGTCAGCTTGGAAATGGAAAGCTTATTCTAATTATTAAGAAGATATAGGCCAAAAATTGCTTTCACTTGAGATATCTTAATATACATTTTAAAAAGCAGCTTCGGGAGTAATTTCATAATTGTTTATTTCATCTTGACCTGACATGTGTACATTTTAGAAGGCTAATTTTTAAAATGTAAGCAAAAGTAGTTAATTTTCACATTGTAAAAATGTACCTACTGTTGTCCTTTCTGAGCATATGCTTATAGGAAAAATAAAAGTGAAATGAAACATGAGTACAGTTTTTCAAACTTAGTCTTCACACTGAAGACCAGGACATGCCATCCAGAGGTTCAAGTACATTTGTAAATATCCTCCTATCATTTCCAAAATTGAAAATGCAGCCTAATTGTTATGAGACAATTGGTGTGAATACATTTTGAGGAGGGCAGAAAAATGTTCACCTAATTTGAGTCTCAGTCTGGACAATAGCACATTTTTTCTGTTGATGTTAATAATGGGAGAAAAATCTAACCTATGGGATAAGGTCTGTCTGTTTATGTGAAGTGTATTTTTACCATACCAGAGTCCAAGAAAACCCCAGCACAGAGCACAGCACTTCAAACATCATTGATGGTCAAGAAATATTTGTTGAATAAACAAATGAACTAATTAATATAGACAATCAATATAAACTTTTCATTTTTAAATAGATTGTTTTGATTTTGTGTTAGCTTATATGATCCTAAAATCTTGGACACCAAAACTTGTATAATAACAATGTTTGTTTGGAATAGTATTTTTTTGTAGGATTTGAAAGCAGGATGCTGGGTTTTAAATCACAGCTTGAAAGTAGAAGGATATGATGCTTTAGACATAGTATCTAATATGTAGGCAGTTTCATGTCTGGAGGGCAATTCTTGATCTTGGTTATTTTTCCCTCTTGCAGGGTAGAAGGTGAAGGGGAATATACTGACATCCAAGGACTGGAATGGAGTGGCAGCTTTCATTTTACAGCTGCCCCAGGTCTGAGACTGAAACTCCATATGTAGATGTTCTGCACCAAAGTTTAAGTGGGTAGCTGAAGCACTAGTTGTAAGAAAAGCTAGGAAATCTGTCATCTGAAGTGACTTCATGCGCTACTTCTATAGTGCCAGCTTGCCAATAAAACCATCACTCACTTATGCCTTGTTGAACTTTATTTTCATTATCTTATAATTAGTCTAAAATGAATTGTGTGATTCAGTACAGCAGACCTATTCAGATCTTGGAAAATTAATTTCCAATCCTTTGCCTGAGTTTTGTCTTTTTTTCTTTTCCTCCTAGTTTGTGCTTTGTATGTTTATTTTGGAAGAAAAAAGCTTTCCCTGACTTGCCCTTTGCAAGTATGAAAATATTTTTCCCAACTGAACTTTCCCCCCATTATTATGATAAAAACACTTAAGATGAGATCTACCCTTTTCACACAATTTTAAGTGTACAAGATATTATCAATGACTATAGGTACTGTACAATGTTGTACTTCAAATCTCTAGAGTGCATTCACCTTGCTTGCCTGAAACTTTATGTCCTTTGATTAGTAACTCCTCATTTCTCCTCCCCAATCCCCTGGTAATTACTATTCCACTCTGAGTTTATGAATTTGACTATTTTAAATACCTTATACAAATGGAATCATACTCTACTGTTCTTTCCGTGACTGGATTATTTCACTTAGGATAATGTCTGCAAGGTTTATCCATGTTGTCACATATTGCAGAATTGCCTTCTTTATTAAGGCTGAATGGTATTCCATTGTACATATATACCAAATTTTTTTTATTCATTGCGACTAGACACTTAGGTTGTTTCCACATCTTGGCTACTGAGAATAGTGCTGCGATCAACAAAAAAGTGCTGATATCTCCTTGAGATCTTGATTTCAATTCTTTTAGATAAACAGAAGTAGGATTGCTGACTCATATGGTAGCTCTATTTTTAACCTTTTGAGGAACCTTCACAGTGTTATCATAGTGACTTTATCATTTTGCATTCCCACCAACAGTGGGTAAGAGTCAGATCCCCCAGTTTTTCCAACTTTCTTTCTGTGTCCAAAAATTTAGAATGCTTTGACTACTCTGTGACCCAGCCAGTCACAGAGGTTTTTCCCAGTATGGCAAGAGCATACCCAGTCTCTGATAAGGTACCTAAGTTGTTGCCCAGAACGCTGAAGGAAACTGTTCCCAGCCCTGAGTCAAATTCCTTAAACCCATGCCTGATCCCTCACTGCAGACACACCAAGGTAAACACCCTTCTCAAACTCTTACCATCTGTCTGGTAGGTTGATGCGGTGTTCTGCCAGGAAGTTCCCCTAATAAATGCTTTGGACTGATCACCTTGGCTTTCAGCGCTTTTTTCTTAGGATCCTAACCGTCTCAGAGTAGAGTTAGCAACCCTTATGGGAACTCCCCTGCCATCATTTTTGCAGTGGAGAGTTCAAAGATTTGGAAGGATGAAAGTTCAAAGATTTGGAGGGGTGAAGCAGCAAGACTTCCTATCGCTGTGCATCCTTATCATTTGCTGTCTTTTGTTTTTGACAGTAGCTGTCCTGACAGGTGTAAGTTAGTATCTATTATGCTTTTGATTTCCATTTCCCTGATGTTTAATGACACTGAGCATTTTTTCAGATATGTATTGACCATTTATATGTGTTATTCAGAGAAATATCTATCCAGTCCTTAATCCATTTTTGAAATTAGGTTATTAATTTTTTTTAACCACTGAGTTGCCAGTGTTCCTTGTATATTTTGCAGATTAGCTCTTTATGAGATACATGGTTTATGGGCAACCCCTTCAGGTCCCCTCCCACTGTGGGAGCTTTTCTGTCCTCTCAATAAATCCTGCTTTCAAGAAAAAAAAAAAGATACTGGGTTGCAAATGTGTCCTCCCATTCTGCAGGTTGTCTTTCCCCTCTCGATTGTTTCCTTTGCTATGCAAATTTTGGTTTGATGTAGTTGCACTTGTTTGTTTTTGCTTTGGTTGCCTGGGCTTTTGGTGCCATCATCTATGAAATCATTGTCAAGACCCATGTCATGAGGATTTTCCCCTGTGTTTCCAACAGCACATTGAAAGGGTCATACACGATGATCAAGTGGGATTTATCCCTGGGGTGCAAGGATGGATCAACATACGAAAATCAATTAATGTAATATATACCACGTTAGCAGAATAAAAAATAAAAATCACATGATCAACTCAATAGACACAGAAAAAGCATTTGACAAAATTCAGCACCTATATGTTAATTTTGAGTCAGAGTCTCACTCTGTTACCCAAACTGGAGTGCAGTGGCACAATCACAGCTCACCGCAGCCTCCAACTCCTAGGCTCAAGTGATCTTCCTACCTCTCAAGTAGCTGGGACTACAGGCCTATGCCACCATATCTGGCCAATTATTTTTTGTAGAGATGAGATCTTGCTATGTTGCTCAGGCTGGTCCCGAACTCTTGGGCTCAAACAATCCTCCCACCTCAGCCTCCCAAAATGCTGGGGTCATAGACATGAGCAACCACACCTAGCAGTACCCATTTATTAATTTAAAAAATTAGGAACAGAAGGAAGTTACCTCAACAAATATAAAAAGCCCACAGCTAACATCGTACTCAAAAGTGAAAAACTGAAAAGTTTTTACTCTAAGATCAGGTACAAGGCAAAGACGCAACTCTTGTCACTTCTACCTTTAAAATGTATACATTAGGGGCAACCCCTTTGGGTTCCCTCCCACTGTGGGAGCTATTCTGTCCTCTCAATAAATCCTGCTTTCAAAAAAAAAAAGTATACATTGGCTGGGTACAGTGGCTCAAGCCTGTAATCCCAGCACTTTGGGACGCCAAGGTGAGAGGATTGCCTAAGCCTGAGGGTTCAAGACCAGCCTGGTCAATATGGTGAGACCTCGTCTCTACAATAAATCAAAAAAATTAGCCGGCTGTAGCCGGGCTCAGTGGCTCAGCCTGTAATCCCGCGCCTTTGGAAGGCTGAGGTGAGTGGATTGCCTGAGCCTGCGGGTTCGAGACCTGTTTGGGCAACTTGGCAAGACCTCATCTCTACAATAAGTCAAAAATTAGCCAGGCGTGGTAGTGCCTGCCTGTAGTTCCAGCTACTTGGAAGGCTGAGGCAGAAGGATCGCTGGAGCCCAGCAGGTCGAGGCTGCGGTGGCCGGGAGCGGCCACTGCACTCCAGTCTGGGCAACAGAGTGAGACTCCATCTCAAAAAAAAAAAATTAGCTGGCTGTGTTAGCACGCACCTGTAGTTCTGCTACTTGGAAGGCTGAGGCAGAAGGATCATCAGAGCCCAGCTGGTCAATGCTGGGGTGGCCATGAGTATATCACTGCACTCCAGGTTGGGTGATGGAGTGGGACTACAACTCAAAAAAAAAAAAAAATATATATATATATATATATATATAAATATATATATGTATTTATATATATATACACACATTTTAAAGGAGACTATCAAGAAAGTGAAAATGGCTGGGTGTGGTGGCTCATACCTGTAATTCCAGCACTTTGGGAGGCCGAGATGGGAGAATCACTTGAGCCCAGGAGTTTGAGACTAGCCTGGGTAACATAATAAGACCTTGTGTGTACAAAAAATTAGGAATTAACCAAGTGTGGTGACATGTGCCTGTAGTCCCAACCACTTAGGAGGGTGAGGCTGAGAATCACTTGAGCTAGGAGGTCGAGACGGTAATGAGCTGTGATGGTGCCACTGTACTCCATCCTGGGCAACAGAGTGATCCCCAACTCAATAAAAATGAGAATGAAGTGAAAATACAATCCTCAGAGTGGAAGAAAATATTCCAAGTCATTTGTCGATTGTCAGAAATTTACCTAAAATTTCTGCTTCAGCTTCCATTTTTAGGCCTGACATAAATCGTTTGAAACCCAATCATATCCTATCACCCTGGCCTAGTTAAAACTTTCCCTCCCACATGGCTGTTTGCAAATCTAGTCCACATGTTTACTTGTGCCTTATACTACTGCCCCCAAGCCCAACCTATCCTACTGCTGGTGACCATAATAAAACCTACAGGTCCCCACCCGCTGGTTGGGCTCCCTCTACTTCAAGACTTCTCATTGGCAACCCTACCCTCCCTGGGACTTGGGAGATTAATGCCTTCTGTTTTATGTATTTTGCTTTCACCTCCTCGTTGTGTCTCACGTAGTTGATACACCCAAATCTGACCTTCTCCTCTGCCAGGGCTCCCCTTGAGAGTGGCTATCTTGGCATATGGCCATTTATGACAGAGAGACCTCAAGACAAATTTAAAGAGAAACCATAACAATAAAAATCATAACACTGATAAAGGTCTAGTTTCCAGAACACATACAGAACTTTTACAACTCAACAATAAAAAAGGCAACCCAATTAGAAAATGAGCAAGGAGTTTGAGCAGACGTTTTCCCAAATTAGATATACAAATGACCAATAAGTTATCAAAAAGATGCTTAACAGCCTTACTCTTTAGTGAAATGCAAATCAAACCCACAATGAGATACCACTTTACAACCACTAGGATGGCTATATTAAAAACAAAACCAGAGCCGGGCTCGGTGGCTCAGCCTGTAATCCCGCACCTTTGGGAGGCTGAGGTGAGTGAATTGCCTGAGCCTGCAGGTGCGAGACCCGCCTGGGCAACTTGACGAGACCTCATCTCTACAATAAATCAAAAAATGAGCTGGGCGTGGTAGCATACGCCTGCAATTCCGGCTACTCAGAAGGCTGAGGTGGAAGGATTGCCGGAGCCCAGTGGGTAGAGGCTGCGGTGGCCGGGAGCGGCCACTACACTCCAGTCTGGGCGACGGAGTGAAACTCCAACTCAAAAATAAATAAATAAATAAATAAATAAATAAATAAAAAACAAAACAAAACCAGGCAATACACAGATTGACAAGGAAGAGGAGAAACTGGACTTCTCAAACATTTCTAATGGGAGCGTGAAATGCTGCAGCTGCTGTGGAATACATTTCTTCAAATTATTAAACAGACTCAGCAATACCTAGGTATATACCCAAGAGAATTGACTTGTACACAAATGTTCATATCAATATTTTTCATTGCTATGGTCTGAATGTGTCATTCCAAAATTCATGTTGAAATCCAATTGCTATTTTGGTGGTATTAAGAGATGAGCCCTTTAAGAGGTGATTAGGTCATGATATCGGAGCCCTTATGGATGGGATCAGTACCCTTATAAAACAGGTGTGAGAGAGATTGCTTGCTTCTTTTGCCATGTGAGGATGCAGCAAGAAGGTGCCAGCTTTGAACAAGAGAGCAAGCCCTTACCTGATAGGGAATCTGCTAGTGCCTTGATCTTGGACTTCTCAACCTCCAGAACTGTGAGCAGTAAATCTCTTTTGTTTACAAATTACCCAACCTGAAGTATTTTGTGGTAACAGCTCAAAGGAACTAAGACATTCATAATATCCCCTACTGGAAACAACCCAAATGTCCATCATCTGATGAATATAGTTACAAAATGTGGTATGTCCACACAATAGAATATTATTTAGCCATAGAAAGAAATGAAGTACTGATACTATGACATGAACGAACTTCAAAAACTAAGTGAAAAGAGCCAGTCACCAAAGGCTACGAATTATATGGTTTCATTTATGTGAAACGCCCTATATGGTTTCATTTATGTGAAATACCCAGAATAGACAAATCCTTAAATAGAAAATCAATTAGTGACTGTTAGGGGAGAGAAGAATTAGGAAGCATGAAGTTTCTTTTTGGAGTGATGGAAATGTTCTAGTATTAGATAGTAGTAATGGTTGTACAATCTTATAAATAAACTAAAATCAATGGAATTGTCCACTTTAAAGGGGCAAATTTTATGTATGATATGTGAATTTATCTCAATGTCTTAAAAAGTACATCTGTGTGTTGTCATATATTCTATATCCAGAAAGCTTCTTTGCTTTTTATATAAAACAAATGAAAAAATATCAGAACATTAAAAGTCAGCTACATTTTAAAAATTACAGTAAAGACCTGAGAGTTTTTGCTGAAATGCTATTATTCTAAAACTGACAAAAAATAGTATCTGCGATCAATAATTTTTGTCATATTTCTTTATTAAAAATCTTTTGAATATTTGTAGTTCCCAATATATCACTGGCAAAAAATGTATATTTTATTTTTTGCCAAACTAACATAAATTTGGGGTGAAATATCTTTTAAAATGTTGAAATAAAATGGTATTTTTGTTATTTTATCATAATAATAGCTTTATATTTAAATGTTAAAGATCCTATTTATAAGTATTCAAAGATACATTTTAAAAGTTGGATGTGTTACTTAGCATTAGCTAGCATATTTGTAGAATTAAATATTATTATTATATTGGAATCTGTAAGGAGACAAATACTGGACAAGAGAGGTGAAAGGAGGTTTTCAGGGACTAGGACATATCATTCAAATTCAAAACTTCTAGAAAATATTTTATAGAAAAATATCTGCTTTGCTGCAAACTTAATTTTTCTTAATGTTTTCTTCAAATTATTTAAGGTATCAAATTATGCAAGAGCAAGCCATCTCACTCTTAAATTCTTTAACTTTCTTTTGCTATATTAATAACTTTTATTGTGCAAATTTTTCAGTTTTCTGTGATAACAAAGACATTCCTTTTAAGCTTATTTCTCCCATCTCCTCCTTGGAACTCAATGCAGTTCAGTTATTTGATTAGTTCATGCTAGAATTTGACCTGGAGCTTATATAATTAGAAGAGACACTAGTTTTCCTCATTTAAAAGGCTGGTTAGCGAATGACAGTCTTGTTTCAGGGGAAGTCAAACCTCTCCACAGCTTCTTTGTCTAACCTTTAACTTAATTCAGAACCCAGATAAGCCTTGATCTGAGGAGGATATAACCACGACGATGAGCAACATGGGGTGAGTATGAGCTTTTATAAGCTTTGAGGGACTTTGAAAAGGGAAGTAATTTTAGAAGAGAAGAAAACTCATCCATCCTTACCATATGGTGTACTAATTAAAATTCAATATATGCTAGCATTTATTTAAGGTAGCTGTTCAAAGAAAGAACTTTTATTCAAAAGTTAGAACAATTTGTAAGACACTAATTTATTTCCTTGCTTAATTTTTATATCTTAATTGCCTTTGCTGGTAAGCTGCAAATGAAAATGTACTGAAAATGTCAACTGATGAACAGTTGTTCTGCATGTTTATATTTTTAGTTGAAACTGAGTTAAATTTCGAGAGCAGTCCTAATGAGAATATGATAGGTAGCGTAAGTCCAACATGCACATGCCTCTTTGGGATTAAGAATAATTAAAGAACGAAAAAGATTAGGGATGGAGGGAGATTGGTTTACGCCTTTCTAATACAGAAAAAAGAATAGAGGATTCTGTCAGAGTTCACTCCTCTATTTACAAAAAAAACTGTGCTGATTGAAAATGTGTGCTGATTAGTTAGGGGCATTTATTAATGAAACCTAATTTAAACAGTTTATGGGGTTTTGAAGGTGTAATGAGAAAAATTGAGTTTTACTTAAAAGCTTTCTTTACTTAAGCGAAAATAAGATTCCATTATAATTTGTATTGGAATTATTTGAGTTTTTATATGTTGAAATAGTAATATTCTGAATATATAGAAATCTGTCTTTGTATTTCCCTTTTATCTTTTTAAATAGCTCCTTTCAATACAAAATCATACTGCTGCAAATGGCATAGCTATGTTATTGAAGGCTACTTCCAAAAGATTCAACACAAATGATCAGATATTTATACTAAAGAAAAAATTTTTTGACACATATTTATTTTAAGCAGTTTCCACAAAGTAATGAACATCTACATTTTTATTCCATGGGCTCTGAAAATACAATCTAAACTCATTTGAAAATGCAGAGGTTTTTGAAAGGAAGATGTGCATGCTTTTGTTAACTTTTAGTACAAATATAAAGGCTGCATTTTGAAGCTTAAAGTTGACAGATGAGTGCCATGCACAAATTCCATTTGCATTTGGTTGGCTTGACTGGGGACAGAATTGATGAGACTCCTGGATTTTTCTTTGTTCTCTCTCCTTGCTTCCCTTTTCTCTGGATATGAGTATACTTCAACATGGCAGGTCACTGGTAAACTCTAAGCCATGTGTGTGCAAAGATCGGTTTCCTTCCCTCTCTCCCTCTTTTCCTCCCTTCCTTCTTTTCTTTTTCTTTAATGACAGTAGTTCTTAACTTCTTTTGGTGAGAAGGATAACTTTCAGAATCCTCAGAAGTCAGTCTACCCTTTTTGCAAAATAACCACACAAAATTTTGCATACAATTTCAGGAGATTTGTAGGCGATCTGAAACCCAATCCATGGACCCTCGACTAAGAACCTTTGATTTTGATTTTGGAACTGGAGTAAGAGTTGTTCAATATCTTTCTTAATTTCTGGGTTTTTATAAAATATAAGGATTTCTAAGTTAATAATTCTTGCTAATCTTCTCTCAGGGACAGTGTGGAAGATGCACCCCCCTGCCACCACACACAATTCACATGAGAGTGGGACATATTTTAACCATCATATTGCTGCTGCTCGTCCCCACAGTCTTGACTGATCACTTATGCCTTTCAAAGAGTGCCAAGAATCACCTTGGGAGACACAGAAGAAAAAAAAATCCTCATTATTTTATTTGTAAAGCACTTTCAATGCCCCAAATAAGATGAACTCAACAAATCATAAATTGCTAACATCACAGAGAACACTCTTTCTGATTAGTAGCTTCACGATTATTTTGATATCTGTTCCTGCTCTTATTAGAAGAGAGGGTTCTTGCCCTTATTAGAAGATAGGTATTAACATCTGTTCAAGTCTTCCTAAAATAATCAGAAAAATAAAGAGACTGTGGCAGCGGATTGGATGCTCACATATATCCACTTGAGGAAATCTGTAGGATTTCTTCCCTGAGGATGAGAGAGTAGCTGTTTTGGATTTGTCTTTGGGACCTACTTACCTCAAAGCTATTTGAGGATACAGTGCCACTGTTGGGGGCTCTGCCAACCCTTCCCAGTATCCTTCAGGCTCTCCTGCTGGCATGATTTTAGCAAGCAATAAAGAGGCAAATATTGGGAAATTCTCATGCTCTCTAAAAAGCCTCCAGCTGGACACAACACTTCATGCCTGTAATCCTAGCACTTTGTGAGGCTGAGGCAGGAGGATTGCTTGAGCCCAGGAGTTTGAGACCAGCCTGAGTGACATAGCAAGACTTCATCTCTACAAAAACAAAAAAAATTTTTAAATTACCTGGGCATGGTGGCATGCGCCTGTGGTCCCAGCTGCTCTGGAGGCTGAGACGGAAGGATCGCTTAAGCCTAGAAGCTGAAGGCTGCAGTGAGTCGTGATCATGCCACTGCACTCCAGCCTGGGCAGCAGAGTGAGACCCCAACTCTAAAAATAAAAATAAATAAAAGCCCCTTCTTACTTCTTCCCTGGATTCCTTATGGAGTGTGTGGATGGGCAGGTTGGGTGGAGATGGTAAAGGAGGGCTGAGGGATATCGGGGGGAAGCGGAAAATTCTTGTCTATCAGGTACCCCAGCACCTGCCACTTCCTAACACCTGGGCAGAGGATGAACAACAGGAGAGAAAGGATGGTTATATGTCTTTTGTGAGCCGCTTCTCAATCCTCTCTCCCTATCTCCTGGGAGAGTTTGTCAGTGCACCCCAAAATGACACCGGGGGAAGTAAAAGTTAAGGCTCTGTGAAAATTAGAGCCACCAAGTTCACTGGTACAGCAGAGTCAGCCCCCTGTGGGTGTCCCAGGTCAGACAGGCTTAGAGCAATTGTAAATATTCCTTTATGAATGTATTTTCTGCTTCTAAATCTGAGTGCCACTATCCAGCTCTTTTCTTGGGCAAAGCGTCCGATCGGCTCACGGAGGAGCCTCTGAAATGTCCTACCCATTTGTGCCCTCCTTTCCCGTTTAGCAATCACTTCCCTGATTGAGGCCATCATCATCTTTACTTGGGTTGCTAAGGCGCTTACCCACTGGCCTTTCTGCAGCTGGTCTTTCCTGTGCAGTGCCACAAAGTCACCTTCTTGCCCAGGCGACATGCTCTTGTTTCTCCCTTGCTTTAAAACTTGAGATGACTCTGTATTCTCGCCACAACAGAGCAGGCTCCAGAGCAGAGATGTATGGCCCTCTCTCTGTCCCTAATCCCCCTGCCTGGCCTTGCCCTCTGCCCTATCCTCCACACTCCCAAGTCGCCGAGGCTTTGTGTGATGGACGTTCCTTTGCTGACCCTCTTCTTACAATTTCTACCTATCATTCAAAGCTCAGATCCTGTCCTCTGTGTGAAACTGTCTCTAATCCCCGCAACTAGAACTCATCTTTTCTCCTCTGAAAGTTCTGGACATTGACACTTTTCTTGTTTCCTTTGTCTCAATCCATCATGTGTTACATTGTCTGTGAATCTCATCTTTCTTACTAGACTGTAAGCAGAAACTATGGCGTCCTCGTATATATCCCAGCACCTGGAACAATGCCTTTTACATGGCACATGCTTAACAAATACTTGCGGAATTCACATAAACTCTATTTTTCCTAAAATCACAAGAAAGCCCCAAAACTCAACTTTAGCCAAACTTTCCCTTTTTCTTCCCCAATAGAGTGGCCCCATTTTCAAGTTTCTATATGAAGAACTCAAACGAGTAGCAGCTAAAACGTGGGCAGTGCAAAGGAGAAAGGATTAAAACAAGGGCTGGAACAACACACTATAGGTTTCTGAGTAGAAAGGATGCTGTGAATGTCTAGAAAGGACACATGGGCTCCAAGGAAATGAGATAAAACGCTCCAGAATTTAAAAACATTGTTGGTTCTAGACAACTTCCTAGAGGACTAGTGTATTATCAGTGACGACTGGGTTCATCTGTATATGACGGAAAAATAAAATAATAGTGGCTTAAACAAGCTAGAAGAGTATTTCTCTCTTATATTTAAAAAAAAGGCTGAGCGCAGTGGCTCACGCCTATAATCCCAGCACTATGGGAGGTCAAGTGGGAGGATTAATTGAACCCAGGAGTTCGAGACCAGCCTGGCAACACAGAAAGACCACACTCATCTCTACGATAATAAAAATAAAAAAATTAGCCAGGTATGGTGGCATGTGCCTGTAGTTCCAGCTACTCAGGAGGCTGAGGTGAAAAGATCGCCTGAGCCCAGGAGGTTGAGACTATGGTGAACCAGGATTGTGCCACTGCACTCCAGCCTGGGCAACAAAGTGAGACCCTAACCAAAAAATAATAATAATAATCGGGTACGGTGGGGCAGGCCTGTGTTCCCAGCTATTCAGGAGGCTGAGGTGGAAGGATTGCCTGAGCCCAGGAGGTTGAGACCAGGGTAAGCCAGGCTCATGTCACTGCACTCCAGCTTGAGAGGCAAAAACAGCAGGAGTGCAGTGTGGCATGACCAGTGTAAGCCAGGGTCATGCCACTGCACTCCAGCCTGGGCAACAGAGTGAGACCCTAACCAAAATAATAATAATAAGCCCCAAAACTTAATAATCGGGTATGGTGGGGCAGACCTGTATTCCCAGCTACTCAGGAGGCTGAAGTGGAAGGATCGCCTGAGCCAAGGAAGTTGAGACCACAGTAAGCCAGGGTCATGTCACTGCACTCCAGCCTGAGAGGCAAAAACAACAACAACAAAAAACAGAGAGGCTGGCAGTCCCGAGCTGTCAGATCAGTTCCTTGTGGTGAGGCACCCAGGTCCTTCTGGTTCGCTCTTCTGTCATCCTTCGTATATCACCTCTTGGTCCAAGAAGGCTGCGAGGGTACCACCTATCTCATTGGAAAGAGCAATGGGGGAAAAAAGTGTGTTCTCCCTTTAAGGAGATTTGCCAGAGGTCACTCACACTCTTTCTACTCTTTTTGCATGCATCTACTCTGTGGTTACACCTTCCTGTGAGGGAAGGAGGAATAAGGCCTTTTAACTGTTTACTCAAGAAAAAGGTGAAGGCAGGGTACGGTGACTCACGCCTGTATTCTTAGCACTTTGGGAGGCCAAGGTGAGTGGATTGCCTAAGCCCAGGAGTTTGAGACCAGCCTGCACAACATGACAAGACTTTGTCTCTACAAAAAAATTAAAAAGTTAGTCAGGCATGGTGGCACACACCTGTAGCCCCCGCTACTTGGCAGGCTGAGGTGGGAGGATAGCCTGAGCCCAGGAGGTCGAGGTTGTGGTGAGCTGTGATTGTCCCTGACTAAGAAAAAAAGAAGAAGAAAAAGGGGAGAATGAATACTGGGTGGCAACTAGCTGTGTCTGGTCTGACTGAACTGGTTCCAGGCCTTACATTGCCGCTCATATCCTTTAGGACAAAGTACAACATTATGCACAAAAGGAATCTTTTTCTTTTCTTCTTCTTTTTTTTTTTTTTTTTT